ATTATGTTGAACTGTGCCATGTCCTTTACTCATATCTGATCATTTCAGTACATGATCTTTCAGATACTGAGGGGGGGTTGTCTAATGCGCTGATTCCTGGCTGCTGTCTTGGGTGTGATTGTTGCCTTGGGTGTGACTGCTGTGGTTTTCTCAGCAGTGGCGGGAGAGGACTGTTGCGTCGGCACAGCTGGTGTTGGCTGATCCTCAGGACTTCTACAAAGTGTTATGTTTGACATTTCCTTGGGATCAGAGTTCTCCTTGGTTTTCCTAAGGTAGTAATGATTTCTTCTTTAGGTGTCTCCATTGGGTGTTTCCACCATATATGATCTTTATGTTACTGTGCCTTTTTTCCTCTCTTTACTTCCCAGTTGGAATGGCTTCATACGTACGACATCACCTTTGAGCGTGGGTAGGTCATGAGCATGCTGATTGTAGAGGGTAGACTGTTGAAGTTTTTGCTTATTCAGTTGTTGGATATCCCACTCACTCTGTGGGCTCTGGGTTGGAGAAGAGTCTTCACTGTGGAAAGAGTGTTCTTGTTATCCTAATCATTAGGCATTGAGCAGGACTTGAATCAATTTTTTGTGTGGGAGTATTGTGGTAATCAAGAATTGCGATGTATGGGTCTGTTCCGGGACTCAAGGCTTTGCTTAGGAGGTTCTTTGGTGTTTTCACTGCTGATTCCACTTTACTGTTGGCGTTGCTGTTCCCAGGAGAGCTAGTTCTGTGTTCAAAGTCTCAATCGTTTGCGAATTTACTCTGGTGACATGAACTGAGGACCATTTTCGCTGATCAAGCGATTAGGGCAACCTTAGCGAGCAAAATGGTTCTTCAGCTTCAAAACTACAGCTGATGAGGTGGTACTTGTGAGGCAGTCAACCTCCCAGAAATTGCTGTAATAATCTACTGTGATCAGGTACTGTTTCTTGTTTAGTTCAAACAGGTCCACTCCTACTTGCTTTCATGGTCGACTGGGTACTTCGTGTGGTATCAGAGACTCTTTCTGGTGGCAGGTCTCGTACTTTCGACAGGTCTCACAGGTTTCGATCATTTCCTTTAATTTGGCATTCATTTTCGGCCAGAATATGGTTTCCTGTGCTCTTCGTAAACAGCTTTCTGTGCCAAGATGTGAGGCATGCAGCTTTCGTTTCATGTCTTTTCATAGGCTGACAGGAACTACAATTTGTTGCCCGTGAAATATCACTCCGTCGTGTACTGACAACTTATTCCTCACATTAAAGTAGGGGGTTATCTGCTGGTATTTGTCTACGATCGTCGGGCCAGCCGCGCAAGATGGCAGCTTTCAGGGCTTGCAGTATCTCGTCATCCTCAGTTGCCTGCTGGATTTCTCTGGGTCTAGATGTGGGTACAGGGAGGAACACAGCGGTGTTGATGTTCTCAAATTCAGCTCTAGTCAGATGTAAGGTCTTGGCAGGTACGCTCTGGAGAGTGCATCAGCCAGGTACTGGATCATGCCACAGTCATACTGCACCTCATAATCATATTTAATCAAGCCCTAGGATTTCATGGTACCGGTAATGATCGTTTCCGGTACCGAGTCGTTACCATGGCCTTAAAATAATGGAACCGAAAAATAGTTCTCAGTGACATATCCTGATATATTAAACTCAGGGGTCAAAGTACACAAAAATAGTATTTTTCCACTCGGATTCTTAACTAGTACAGGAATTCTTTATGACTCAACTTGTGTATATACAAACTTTTTAAAAACGTTACCGTTTTTCTACTGTCCATCATCTTTAATCATTCTCAAAGTGTATTGCACATTATTGATGGCTCACACATGAAAGATGTTTTGCAGTGATTATTACGGCTTCCAGTCCCAAGAGAAAAAGTATGACTCCAACAGTTTAAAAACATTTAAGAGGCGGGCTTTTAGTGACAATTTCACTGTTGAAACTGATGATGTGGCCCGAATCTCTTTATGAAAAGACAATAGATCTGTAACGAACATTTCAAGTGAGTATACTTCTGTAATTGAATGGAGGAAGAGCCCTGGAGTTTTGACACTTAGTGCACACACATTTAACGCTTAAATTGACCTTCTTCTGACATTTTAATAGTACTCGCTGATGTTCTTTAAATGAAAAACATGTTTAACAACATGTTTCTGTACATTAAAAGAAATAAAAGTGGGTTCGCATGAATTTTCTTGGAACCAAAAAATTGTTACTGATGGTTTCCCATGATCTCTGGGTATGGAACCGAAAATTTGTTATCCATGGGATTTGAAATCTTGGGGCTTGATTTCTGAAGTCTCATCATCATGCCTTGAAGGCGTTTTGGCGCACACGTGAGAGACTTCTTCAGGATAGATTGCAGCGGCTTGTGGTCGCTTTGGATTTTCACGTGGCATCTGTAGGTGTACTGGTTAAATTTCCCAAGTGAGAGTACAATCGCAAGCATTTCTTTCTCATTCTATGCACATCGTTGCTCGGTCTCAGTGAGTGCTCTGCTTGTGTACGCAATCAGTTTGGCTCTTTGCAGGAGGGCAGCTCCCAGGCCTTTCTTATTGGTGTCACACTGGATTTCAAGCTCGCCCTTCGGGTTGTAATAGTAAATTACTGGGGCGGTAGTCACAAGACACTTCACTTCTCTAAACGTGTTCTCTTGCTCTTCCATTCAGTGAAACTCTGTGTCTTGTTGTGTGAAGCTGCATATAGGCTCCATGTGGTCTGCTAGGCGAGGTGGGCGCTTTGACAAATAATTGGGAAATCTGTTAAGCCTCTGCACACCTTCCACGTCTTCAGGTCGAGGCATCTCTAAGGCTGCTTTAGCTTTGTTGGGGTCTATCTTGAGGCCGTGTTTGGTAAAGAGGTAATAAGTCTGGTTTATTAATAAGTCTGGTTTATTAATAAAATCATTGCATTTAGAAATAAGCGAATTGCAAAATTATTGTACAAAGATGTAGATATTAATTAAAAGAAAAAATTACGATTTAAACTAATTACATCGTGTTCAAAATGGACTGGACCTTACAATAATGAGAAGATATAATAAAATAAATTAGATAAAATACTAGAAACTAGAAATATATATCAAGTTATACATTGAATTCCCAAAAGTTCCTAAATTACATGCCATGAGCATAAAGGCACATTGCCGGAAAAAAAGCTTTGTTTAAAGCATTCAGTTTAGCAACTTATAAGGGATGGTCTGTCTTTGTTGTGACAGGAGCGGCCGTGCGCCCGCGACCAAGTCAGTGGAACAAGAAGGTGAAGACGGGACTCGGGCTTTTTAGGTGACCCATGACTCTTTAGGTGACTCGGGCTCTTTAGGTGACCCATAAATGGCACTTTAGTAATCCGCAGTTTCAACTTGTTCTTGTCGACGGCAATTCCATGCTCTGTGCATCTGAGTACTAATGCCTCTAATTTAAGATCGTGGTCACGACGAGCTTCATCTTTGGTGTCACTAACTCCATATATGAGGATGTCGTCAGTGATGTTAAGTATTCCTTCCAGTCCTTCTAGGGCTTGACTCTCCCGTTTCTGGAAGATCTCGCTTGATGCTGATGGACCAAAAGGGAGTCTTTTCCACCGATATCTTCCAAAGGGGGTTGCAAAGGTAGTCAAGAGACGGGACTTGTCATCAAGCTCGCAGTGTCAGAACCCTGTGGTACGATCAACGGTTGACAAGTTCTTCGCTAGAGCCAGCTCTGGTATTAAGTCGTCTAGGATTGGCAGCTGATGGGATTCTCTTTTTCAGGCTTCGTTCAACGGTCGTGGATCTATGCATATTCTTAGGGCACCTGACTTCTTTGTAGCAATAACAACAGTGCTCACCCATGCCGTAAGCTCATTGACTTTTGTCAGTACTCCTAGATTCTCTAAGCGGTGTAGTTCAGCTTTGAACTTCTCTCTCAGGGCAGTCCGGATCTGTCGCAAAGCCATTACAGAAGGTTCTGCATTTTCATCAACTCTCAGGTGGACTGTACCAGGTAGGTTTCCCAGATCTTTTGCAAAAACTTCTGGATAGCATTGGACTAGCTCGTCAGCTGTTGCAATGCTTTGGATGTCCTCACATGATTTATGGGGAGGTGGAACAGAGACAAAATAATCTTCATGCACAGTTATCAGCTCCATTTGTTGTGCTGTACCTGCTCCTAGCAGCGGTGTTGAGTCATCAGGAACAACAACAAACTCAATTGAATACTTCTTTCCAGTTTTAGGATTCGTGACTTTCAAGTGCGTAGTTCCAAGGGGTTTCATTTCTGCTCCATTCCACATCTTCAGGGTTTTGTTTGATGGTGTTATGCGACTTCTTGTGGTCTGACATTTAGTGATGATGCTTATTGAAGCTCCGTAGTCGATCTGAAATTTAATTTTCTTGTCATTGATCGTCATCTCTCACTGTATTTCTCTTGCATAGCCAGATGTTTGTTCAATTGCATGGGTAGATGGTTCCACTGTGGTAACGGTGAGCAATTCATAATCACTAGACTCATAGCTGTCATCCTGTTCATCACTGTCAAGCTGGGGTTGCTCAGAAAGCCTGTGCACACCAAGCGCTTGGCCCTTTCAGCAAACTGTAGCGAAATGATTTCTTTTGTTGCACTTCTCACGTCGCTTTTGCCATGCAGGACATAACTCCTTTTTCAGAGGGTGACTCCCAGTGCAGAATTTGCAATTCTTTCGCTTTTGGTGTTTGTGATGCTTTGCATTGGGATCATATTTTTGCTTCCAAGGAGGTTTTGTCAGCTGCACTTTTAGTTAATGTACATCATCTGTTGTGCTAGGTGCTCCTGAAATATTTTTAATTTGGGGCGAGGCAACTTCACTACTCCTACACAAATCAATGCATTTTTTTAATATATTTCTCTCTTGCAACAAGCATTTTCAAAGAGTGTGGTTGTTTATCTCAAGAACAATGCGATCCCTTTACAGGCTGTCTTCGAGGCAATCACAGAGTCCACATGTTTTGACTAGAGATCATAGTGCAGTTATGTATGCATTGATAGATTTGTCTTGGCTCTGATTTCAACCGTTAAAGATAAAGGGTTTGTAGGTCTCATTGACTTCTCCGATAGTAAACTCGTCAAATTTCTGAATAATTTTGGATAAGGTGCGGCAATCCGTCTCATTGGCAAACTGCCTTCCGTTGTAAATTTTCATGGCGTCTGGACCCAGGCAGTGAAAAAATAACAGGACCCTGTACTGTTCCGTTTGGCCAGTAAGATTTGTGATGATAGCATAATTTTCCCAGATCTGCTTGAAGTGTTTGCAGTTTTCAGCTGTGTTAGTAGTGGTATCTAGATGTTTTGGCGGTGTGATACCTTGTATAAGGGGAGCCGCTTGCATTACGACGCTTGGCTGAGACGGCAAAGGAGGTGAAGCTTGTGAGGCCACAGGTGTCCCTGTAGTTTCTTCGGAGTCTGACATTGGACTATCTCTCCCTCTCTGTCTGTCTCTAAGACTCTAGTGGGGTCCTAAACCAGCTAGGCCACTGCCACCATGTTTCAATATGCATAAGCTCACCACATAAGTTCAGTACTCAATTCATTTTAATCAAATCTAGAACTATTGATGAACAAACTTGATACATGTAATAAGCTTAATGGAAGTTTGATTGACATATTGTAACAGAGGTTGTTATTTAACTATCAAGTAAAATGATAATAATCAGTTGGGGAAAGGTGTGAATGCTTTGGATAGCATTTTGAGTTGAAAAGGTCCCTTTCCACATAGTTTTCTGGTTGTCCTACTTTGCCAAGAAATTTGAAATATTTTCTTGGTCATGGTTCTTGCCCCAACATTTCTTGTCCATTTCGGCCAATGTTTTGTTGATGGGCAGCCCTTTCTCATCTCTTATTTGTGAGAATAAAGTGCACATGCTGAAGGTTCTGTTGTGCTGGACTTCATGGAGTTGCCTGAAAGTGAAAAGAGGTTAGCTGATTATAACAACACAAACAGGCAGGCTTGTGCAAAGTTTTCCTAATGTGATCTAAGGGGTAGAAGGCATTAGCAAGAGGACATAATGTGGTGGATAGCAAAACAGTCTTAACACCATGGTGATGAACAAGAAAGCTCTCATGCAGTTAATAAGCTAGCATGCTTATGCTTCTCATGTGACGAGGTAGAACTGATGTTCTGAGTTGATGCTGTCTTTTTGTAAGACATAGTAAGCATCCAAACTGCGTTGCTTAAAGGTTATGGGGTCAATGACTTAGTTAACTGGACCTTGTTTTGGTAGATTTTATGACAAAAACAAGCTCTTAGATAATGACAGAACAATGTGCAAATGATAGAAATGAGAAAATAAAAATACTCTCAATGAAACTATTTTATCTCATAAGAAAATAAACATATTTATTTACAAGTAATCTCACGGGATTTTTGAACAGTTTGACATTGCACCTTTTATAGTCATTGTGAGCTTTTTTCAGCATTTTTCAGGTGTTGACTTACAGGACATCAAGATCATTAAGGTTATCTTCAACTGATTTATCTCTAATACTATGGACACTTGGGTGGAACATAGAATTTCCCACAGCACAAGCAAGTAAACACGTTTTCAACAAGTGCTGCGAGAAATGGTGTTGCTGCAACTGCACAAAGACCACACATGCTAAAGCTCCCAGTGTTTTTGGTTTCTCTACCCCCTTTTATGGTATCTAGATACAGTGGAACCCCGCTATAACGAAGTGTCACGGTACCGAAAAAAATGTTCGTTATACCGGGGTCTTCGTTATAGCGAAGACCCCGTTATAACGAATTATCCGGTCAACAACAGAAATATTCGTTATAGCGGGGTAATTTAAAATTACCAAAAATTCAATACTACACGTAGAAATCATTACTTTTATTCATTTTATATTGTAAACTATAAGTACAACGGTTGTCAATCGAGACATAAAATTCAAGAACATTTTCAATTTAAAACTTTAAAATTCAGAAGTAACAGTAACATCCGAGGGAAATCATCGATGTCGTTTCCTGTAGTAATCATCTCGATTTGTCTCTACCCAAAAAACGTTCATCGTTTTACTTAAAAAAATACATCAATGGAAGCAACAACTTATTCCTTTCGATCTTGTATTCGAGGCTACCATGTGTATAAGGATATATGGGATTCAGTTGTTGGTGAAGTTCTGGATTGCGAGGTAAGACGTGTTTAACAATGTCAAATGTAGAGAACAGAACGTTGGCGATAAAAACAAACCCCTTAGTTCTTTGAAAATTTGGCGTTACAGTATTGATGAATGAATTGATCTCCGCAACACGCGTGTTTTTTTACGCAGCACGAGCCTGATAACCCACACGACACCCATGCTGTTGCCGTTAAACGGGTTCAAGATCAAGGAGGCATGCAGCAGATCGTAGGTCATGTGCCATTGACACTGTCACGTGTATTTCACTTGTTCTTAAAACACGGAGGACAAATCTCAGTGGAAGTGACTGGTAAACGGAGAAACAAGGGCATTGGACTAGAAATTCCGGCTACTTATTTGTTTTATCACAAGAAGCCTTCGAAAGTGAAGAAGTTAATAGAATTAATAAGAGACAAAGAAGAGAGCAGAAGTTAATTGATGTCGAAATACTGTATAACGCCAATGTCTATGACATAATAAGCCGTTGACTGATAGGTTGCTGTCAAAGGATTTGTTGACTGTTGATCTGTACAGCGTTTTATCTTCTGTCGCGTGTTGAGAAAACCGGAATAAAGCAAGCTGTGAATTCTACTCTACGCTCAAATCTGTCGTTGTTACTGACTGCGACCGAGCAACAGGACAAAGTATTCGTTATAGCGAGGTAAATTGTGCGTTGGGACCGTCAAAATCTTTCGTTATAGCGGGGTTCGTTTCAACATATTTTACTGTAAATCTGCCGGGCTTTCAAATGTTGTTCTTTATAACGGGGTCTTCGTTATAGTGAGGTTCGTTATAGCGGGGTTCCACTGTAGTGTACAATAATTGTTCACATGATTGTTGGTGTAAAAATTAGTAGAGACACTTTGCCCTAAATGGCCTTTCTGCCATTTTGCTGACTTTACATGAGAAAAATGTTGTTTTCTTTTCCAAATATGTCCTCCAATGTTCTGCTGCTGTTTAAGCTACCTGCAACAATCAAAACACCCCAACATTGAATGGAGTGGAGAGGGATGCAGAGTACCCTTTTTGAGGACAGGGTCTCAAGAGGAGTTGTTTGTTGTACCTCTTGAAGCAGTGACATGAGAGTTATTTGTGACCTTCTCCAGGAAAACGTACACTAACGGTTTACCGTTTAACGGCTTAAAGCATTAAGAACCCGTTAACTAAGCGTTAAAACGGCTTGGGAAAGCGTTCAAGCCGTTAGTAAAACCGTTAGAAAAATTTGCCTTGCCGTTAGAAGTGTTAGAGAAACCGTTAAAGGCGTTAGTCAAGGTCGTTCAAAGCGTTAGAAAAAGTCGTTCGAAATTTCGTTCCAGGATGTTCAAATCGTTCGGCAAAGTCGTTAGATTTGCATTCTAGGACGTTTAATGAGTGAAGTTCTTTTGATTATTCTGTTTTATGTCCTTTGAAATTATAATCGTTAGGTTATCGCTCTACATTCGTTAAATTATCGCCCAATCTGTACTCGGTTAAAACCTGCAACACATACGTTTTCTCACACTTTCATGCGTTTGTCGTTCAGGCTACATTCGAGCACTTAAACACACGAGCATTTACATACGTACGTAACAAACTATTAATAGCAACATGTAAGCGAATAGGTTTCTGATTATTTACCTGGAGGCGCCAGTAAACCATTCCTTCTGTTGGACACTTCACACGATCTCAGTTTACACATTTTCACGAAGATAACTATCATGTCGAATAAATTGCAGTTGAGCGTACGAATCTTCAAGTTATAGGATAAAAGCCGATAATTCTGGTTACCGCGTCTATTGTCTTTTTATGAAAAAAATAAATAAAAGAATAGGATGTTATTGTTAGCGAAAGCGAGCGAAAGCAAGCGAAAGCACGCGCTTACTATTCGTAACAGGACAGTCCGCGTGATGCGTTGTTATGGTAACCTTTGCTTGAAGGCTCAAATCCTTACAATCATTAGACAAGCAGTCACTAGAACATCGAAAATGGAGAAAGAAGAACATGCTATGGAATTTACAGAAAACGCAAGTGCGGATGGAATAGTTGACAGTGTAAAGAAATTTCTTGAAAGTGGTTGCAAATGCTCACGTGGTCCGAAGGATGGCCCCTGCTCATCGCAGTTTACGGAAGAAGAAGTTATGGCAAATTTGAACAACTGCCTCGAACTGTCATCTTGGCAAACATACAAGCTGTAACCCGTTTCGAAAATATCGGAGAGAAAAGGAGCAGAAGCCCTCGCTGTAATTTCCTCTTCCAGTCAAAGCCGATTTGTCGAGAAATGTTTCTTACACTCTATGGTTTAAGCTACTCCCGCTTTCGCCGGCTGAAGGAACATTACGAGAGCAACGGGCTTTCATCTAGAACCCATGGAAACACAAAGCGGCTTCCCCCGAACACTCTTTCTCACACTGTGGTAGAAGATGTCAATGCTTTCCTTTCCTTTATGTTTACATCGTTAAGTTTGGTTGCTGAGATGTCTTTGTGTTATTCAACTTTCGGCTTGTGTGGCTTTGTAGCTTTCTAGTTTCTTGCCACATGTAAATCGGTTCTTAGATTATGCAAGCAGGTTTGCTTCACTGTCATTCTCACGTTCTTCTGACTTTCTTGTCTAATGTCAGAGGTAGGAGAAGGGCAGTGCGTTTTTTAGGTGGGGACACAGTTAGAAGCACAACTGCTTTTGGTTAGACATTTTTCATTTCGTAAAGACTGAAGATAGAAAAAGATAGCTTTTGCTGATTGTTGTTAAAAACAGGAAATTGAGATTCTGGGATCAAAATTGACTTCTTTAGTGCTGAGGAGGCGGAGGGTTTGTTTGAGGACATTGTGTTTTGCAGTGTTCATATATCTTTGTCTTCTTTGGCCTTAATTTTCCGTTACTTTTGTTGTTAATGTTAAATAAGCAAGAGACTTCAGTGCAAGAGGCATCTGAATAGCTTTCTCTACAGCAAACTGTAGATTATGTTAAACAGCAGTTACATGAACTGATATGATCTGTTTAAAGTGCTTTGAGGGAGAGGCTGAGTTCTACACTTGACCAAGTGGGTGAATGACCCTATCAAGCATTGTCATTAAGCTTTTGTGGGTCTATGATCCTGTGCATTTTCAGATGACTATTGTTTTCTCATTGACAGTCTTTGAACGGTGAGCAACTGGTTCATTTGACTTACATGTCAAGAGAACTCTCGTTGCAGGTTACTCCTTTTTTTCTGTAGTGGACTTCAGCTGATCATGAGGTAAAATTAAAAGGTGCTAAATTCTCCACTCCAAAAAGGCCACAAAAGACTCCAGAAAAGTCTATATTATAGTGACAATAATAATACTAGATAATAATAATAACGTGCAGTTATTAAAAGCATAATATATAGATTTAGCCACAGCTAAAAGCGAAGCTCCCTTTGAAAAGTTAAGTGATTTTGGAGTGAAACAAATCTTGTATCGAGTTGATATAGCCTTATGTGTACACCCAAAAAGTAGATAAGGCGCGGAAAACAAATCAGGCCGAATTTTTTGCGATCGACAGGTTTACAAATTCTTGCCAACAAATCTGGGTGCGTGCAAACCAATCTTTTATTTTTTTTTTAATACACCACATCTGAGGAAAAACAGTACTATGAGGCGCTGTTTTTATCATACAGACCTCGTACAAAATGCAATATTTCACAATTTTTCAAGACAAATTGCATCATTCAATATTCAGGACCATCGAAGCACGCGTGGACTTTTAATTAGCGAAACCATTCAAAAAATTTCCAAAATCACCTATACGGCCAGCCGGTTCTAACTTTTGACAAGCGCCAAATTTGCGAAGAAATTTTAAGAGTTACACTTCAATGTGATAAAGAATTTATTGAGTCTATTTTTTATTCATGGTTTTATAACGATATGTAACCTTAAGAAGCGTTTGATACGCTCGGCATTTTGAGTACTCCTGCAAGCGATGTTTATGAACGGCTGAAAACAAACGGCAAAGCGATGAAAATTACAATACAATTTCAATTACTATCAAGTAAGGCAAGGATCGCTTGAGCACGCATCCAACAAGGTGAAAAACAACAACGATGCCATCGGAAATCAGATTATCGGCTTTGACAAGCGATGCATTTCGCAACCAAAAACCCAATAAACAAACCAGCCATGAATAAGAGAACACTCTTGATAGCAGCTGTATTTCATTTTGTACGTCCAGTGGAAAAAGACAGTTAAAAACATCACAAGTTGACTCAAAACTCTGTCAGCCTCAGCCGTCAAAGTAAACAACTTTGAAGATGCTGCATAAATTTTACGCGTGAACTCACCCGTCAAATTTTAACCAATCAGAGCATAAGAACTGGACGTGGAGCGTGACCAACATGTGACCATGGTAAGAAAAGGTCTTTCCCGCCTGTATTTCTAAAAAACTGGTTGAATTTTTGCGTCTGAGGTCAGTTTGAAGTCAAAATCGTAATAGTGCGGGGCGATACTGACATTTGATATGAATTTAAAAAAAAGTAAACATGAGCCTGCAATCAATTGAAAACGAATAAATTGTCAGCGGATAACATCAAAAAATACTCGACCTTGATGGGTCCACACCTGAGCCCGCGATACAGTCAGGTGATACTGGTCAGCGGATACCCTGTTTTGACAGCTGTCAATTGATGACAACATGCGGACGGACGGTCGCTCGGTTGGTCAGTCACGTGATTACCAAATTTTCTGGGATGGGTAAATTACCTTAGCTATGGGGATCCGCCCACGCGCGCACGTGGAGCTCCACTATTACAACCTGGATTTTAGAAATCAGTGTTATAACCAATTTTATGTTTAGTTGATTTAGAAATATTTTTTTACCAGAGCTTTTCCTTTTCCTTCTCACAATTAGCTTATCAAAAGGGTTAATAAAAAGAGTTTACCCGTAAGTGTGCTTTTAAGTCAGGTCATGTCCCCAAATAGAGCGAAGTTTCTCATGAGAATCAAATTTGAATTTGCCACCTTTGTTGACAGCCCCTGATGAATGTTGTAACAACATGGAAAACCTAGTTTTACAAGTCAAGCTTGCCCAGACCTTACACTAACCTTCATTTTCAGAGCGAATTAACTATTACTACACTTAACAAAAACACGCAAATTCTGAAGTTCAAAAAGCCAACAAACTTTTGCTGGTGTCAATCATCTTAAGGGCCTTTTTGGAAACAGAACCTTATACTTTAACTTGTTCAAAAGCTCATGGTTTGTGATTTGTGATCGCTGGATTTCAATCCATTTTGTGTTTTCTGTGTTTCAAGGTTTAGTGCTTGTGATTGTAATTACGATTGAAGGCAGTGAAAAACAACTTTGAAGACAGCTTTTGAACTTAACAGTTCACGTGTGTGAGGAAAGGCATGTCCTAGTTTTACAACATTTATTGTTTATAATCTATGAACGAAATGAATCTGTATAATTATCATACACATTCATTTTGTCTATATATTGTAAACAATAAATTTTGCAAAACTAGGACATGACTCGTTTTTTATCCTATTTAAAAAATGGACTCCTCAAAATCCAGGAGTAATTGCAGACCTAAGCATTTCTAAGCGTCTGTAAATAAAAATTATTTCTAGTAAGGATAAACTCAAAATTCAACGTCCATTATGTTACTAATTTCCCCTATATGACTGGAAATAGCAGGAAAGTTTATACTGCATTTGCTGAAACAAGCGATGGCTCAAAGGTGTGTCCCACACTGCGTTTTGTAACAACTTTTCCTCATATGCAATGGGCCTTTTTTTCCCGTGTTGGTATTCTATTCTGCCAAGAAAATGTTCCTCCAACTTTTCATTGCTAGTTACGGTTTGGATTTCCTGAAGGCTTGGGTTTGATGGATGTTGATGATCCTTCAAATTACAGAGGTATTTGCATTAGTAGTTGTCTTGGCAAAGTCTTTTGTTCTATTTTAAATACGAGATTATTAAACTTTTCAAACAATCATAAAATACTTCATCGCTCCCAAATTGGCTTCGTGCCCGGACATTGTGCGTCTGAGCATATCTTTATTTAAGAACATTAATAGACCAACATGTTACCCACTCCCCCAGAGGTAAACTTTATACTTGTTTTGTTGATTTTAAAAAGGCATTTGACTCAATTTGGCACCAAGGTTACTATACAAACTGTTGAAATATAACATAGGTGGCTCCTTTTACAAAACAATTTCCAGCATGTATTCAAATTCAATATGTTGTGTGAAAGACAATTATACTCGATCAGAATTTTCCAACTATGATAAAGGTGTACGACAAGGCTGTATTCTGTCGCCGCTTCTATTTAACCTTTATCTAAATGAACTACCCTTCATTCTAAATAACAATGCTAAAGATTCTAACTTACTACCAGATGGTTCTCACTTAAACTGTCTACTTTATGCCGATGATTTACTTCTAATATCTACCTCGGCAGAAGGTTTGCAACAAAGTCTCGACAGACTATCAAAATATTGTCAGGATTGGCTTCTTAAGATTAATCCAACTAAAACCAAAGTTATTGTCTTTCAGAAGAAAAGTAGAAAGTCAGCAATAGATAAACACAATTTTATGGTTAGCAATGAAAACATTGAAATCGTCAATAACTATACCTATCTTGGAGTGAAATTCTCTGCCAATGGAAATTTTACAAATCACAAGGAAAACTTAACAGAAAAAACAAAGAGATCCTTTTTTGCCGCTCGTCGTTATCTAGATTTTCTAAAATTACCAATTCACATCATCAACAAACTGTTCAATACACTATTTTTCCCAATTTTAACGTATTGCTCTGAAGTTTGGGGAATCTATGATAAAAGTGATTATAGCCGCTGGGATAAAGACTTGATTGAGAAAACACATATACATTTTTGTAAGATTTGTTTAGGTTTAAACAAACGTTCACCAAATGTTGCATCGAGAAATGAACTTGGTAGATTATCTCTAAATTTACAAATAACAATGAACATTTTCAACTTTTGGATTCACCTCGAAAATCAACCCCCTGACAGCATCGCTAAATTCTGCTTAAACATATCGGATAAAATGGCCGAAGAAAATAAATCAGGTCTAATAAATAAAATAAATCTTTTGAGTACACAACTTAATATTCATAAACAGTCAGTTAACTTTAAAAACCCTTCTACTTTCCTATCCAAAGCTGAGAATAATTTGTCAAAACATCTGAAAAACCACCAGTTAAATTTGATAAGAAAAAATAAAAAACTAAAATTCTACTCCATCTTTAAAAATGAAACAAATCACTCTGAATTCATCAATCATATCCGGAATCCTGAACATAGGCATGTAGCTTCCAAATTTAGGATAGGAAATCATAATTTAAAAATAGAAACTGGAAGATTTACAATCCCCAAAACTCCTGAAGACCTTAGAATCTGTGATCATTGCAACCAAAATTCGGTTGAAAATGAACTGCACATATTATTTCAGTGTGATCAATACAATGATTTGAGAAAGACTCTTTTTATTAAAATCAACGACCGAAATGCATTATTTACACATTACAATATCCATCATAAAGTCTGTTTTCTTTTTAACAATACTGATTCACATATCAGCAGGCTAGCTGCTAATTTCATCTTTCAAGCATTTGAAAGACGAAAGAAACATAGTTAATTCTACCATTCCATCATCCCTGTATTTCCTTAAACTAAGCTGTTTATTATTGTTATTTTAATCAGTAACACCTGTACAAAATGGTAATACTGAATAAACTTGTTGTTGTTGATATCCAGGCCTGGCAAGTTCCTGCTGGAAGACCAGTTGTTAGCTGTGTACTGTATTGCCAGCCAGATGAGCATTGACCATTGCTAAGTTGATGTAAAACCAAAGTATTTCCACAGCGTTTCAGAAACTGAGTGGGGAAAAACAATATTTTTATAGTAATCGTATCTTTGATTTCATTCTTGTCATTATCGGGAATAGTCATCAAATCAGGTTTTTTTCATGTGATTGGGGGAACCACAAAATTTCTTCCGTATGTAACCTGCTGCACAGTATGAATTTTAGGTTCTTTAGTAGTGTTTCTTGATAGAAGACACAAAAAATTTGTCTCTCCACACTTTTGCCACTAAATTTCTACCTTGAGGTATTTTATCTTTTCACAAACAATTTTCTCTCTCTTGTGGTCAACAGGAAAGTCTTTCCTACCTATGTGTACACTGTACATTGCAGCAAGTGCATTGACTCCAAATCCTGCATCGAATCAGCAAATTAAAGTGTAAGCTGTCACTCATTGTCTACTTAAATAATTGTAATAAGAGATAAGACATGTAGTTGAGTGCTTTTCTCCCTATAAGAGGTCTGAATAATATTGTTTATTGAAAGAGGTAAAAGCCCAATGCAAATGAAAAAGATCTATGACAGTTTATATATATCTATGTATATATAGACCAGTAGGTGAACTACTCAAATCCTGAGTGCATGGGTGTTTAATACAAGCCTGTTTCGTAGGCCACCGAAAAGGTGACCCACTCTTCAGTTAAACTCCATTATTACACTGAAGCGTCAGGGTCTACATCAAGAAGAGTGATCGCGTGATAAAAACGGCTACATATAACGTTTGAAATTTAAATTTTTGAGAAATTTTAGAATGTAAAGCGCGCCTGCTCTCAATCGCCTACAACTCTTACACGAAACCTAAGTCGCACGAAAGCTTGCGCTACAATCTCTGGCTTTCACATGTCCGATTGTACCTTAGAATGAACTTGCGTCGATGTCTGCATGTAGAGACAAGTTCGTTGCGCTTGTTCAGTGTTGCCATGTGAGGCCTACAGATTGAAAAGAACTTCTCTGTTGTACATAGATTGCAATGTTTTGTGACGTTGGTGTAAGATTTTGCTTTGGCGAGTATTTTCCATGTGATGTTGAATTCCTTATTTGCCTCCTTTAGTTGCCACAGGTGCTTACTGAGCTCAGTCTCATTCCTTCTCTTTTCATGTCTAAATGACATCAGGTGGTTTCTGTATCTTGCCTTGAACTGAGTAGCTGTGAGACCGATGTATGTCTCTTTTCCGTCTCCGGTTGTGACTGTGGCTTGGTACACGACTTCACTCACCAGGCATTCTCCGTTTAGCGGGCAGTCTTCTTTTTTCCTACAGCTACACGTCTTCTCTTCGTTTTTCTGTGGCTGCGCTGTTTCTGCTATCTTCAGGATAGCTTTGTTGTGGCCATCTATTATTTGCTTGACGTTGGGCATGCAACTGTAGCTAAGCTTAATGGTGTTCCGGTTGAAAATTTTCCTCAGTTTGTGGCCCACTGGGAAAGATCTTTCAATGAGGCTGATGAACGCACGTCCGATGTTGGTTTTGACGCTTTTGTTATATGGTGGATTAAACCATATAACATTTCTTTGTCGTTTGCGTTTCTGTGATGGCGGTTGCTGTGGTGGTTTGTTAAATTCTAGTTTAAAAGCATAGCCACTCTTTCGTAATGCTTCCTGGTACGGAGCCGATGCTTCATTAAAAACCTCGTGGTCGGAAGAAACACTGGATAGCCGCCGGTTAATTGCTGTGGGTATGTTTCTGAGGATGTTGGGTGGGTGGTTTGATTGACTGTGAACGTAAAGCGGGGTGGTGGATGGCTTGGAGTATGGTTTGAATTTTCCGGTGTTTAAATCCAGTGTTACATCTAGGAAGTTAACAACTTTCTTGTTTGCATCAACTGTGATTTTCAGGTTGTTGTTCGCAAATACCTGGCATATTTGTTTTTTTGCTTTCTCTATCTGCCTTGGTGTTTGATTGAGTACAGCAAGCCCGTCGTCTCTGTAAAGGCCAATTTCGATGCCAGGGATCTGCTTTAGCTGCGACAGGAGATAACAGCCCACCAGTTCACAAGTCTCTGCTCCGTCGTAGCTTCCCATGGTTACGTCAAAATTTGATGCTGGATTTCTCTTTTCCCATGGTTGGCCTTTGCTGAATAGCAGGGAGTGCTTGGAGTTGATGACTGCTTGTCGTTCGTCGGCTGAGATGTTCACGTGCTCAGAGGCGAAGTCAAGGGCGCGTTTTAGGAGGGCTTCGGTAATTGAGGGGTAAAATTCTACGACGTCAAAGCATATAAATGCCGAGCCGCCTTTATTAGCCAGCTGCTTGAACCATTGAAGCACAGAGGATGTGTTCTTCCACTGGTTGACTTTCGTGATGTCGACGAGTTTCCGATTTGTTTCTTCCAGGATTTGTTTGCTTATATGCCCTATCTCCGGTTTTGAAGGATTAATCAGTCTACAAGTAGGCTTGTTTTCAAAATTTTCTTTGTGGTCCTTTAGCATTATAAACGCTTCTTTCATCGCCATAGATTCTACCCGGTCGTCTATGTTAAGTTTTTTTGTAATGGTCCTGGCTTCCTCGTCGATTTTTGTGAGCTGCTTAATGTCGGCTTTCCTATAGGTTTTTGTTACGTTGGCCTCTAGCAGTCGTTTATATTCTGGGACGTCCAATTTATTAAAGTTTGTGGACTTATCTGCTTTAACGAACAAGCGGCTGTCATTTTTTACGGAAGCAATGTCCTCTTCCAGGCCTTCTTGAAATTGGCTTTGAGTGCCTTTAAAAGAAATGTTTTGTATAATGTGTATCGTACCTTCTTCAAAACTTTTCATTTCTTAAATGAAAACAACAACAGCAGCAGTTCTTTCCATCCTACACCAGCATTATGTGAAACAACGACAAATGTTTATATCATTTGGATACTGGGCGGCTGGTCAGCCAGGTTAAGCTCAGTCTTGAAAGTGTTGAGGTGGTTTCACCACTCTTCTGGTTCATGTGGTTTGGATGGAATGGCTCTGACTTGCAGTTTGCTTAACTGGTGATCCTGTCTGGTTGGGCGATCGCACACCTATTTGAAAGATTGATTGATTAGCTGGGGAAACATTAGGGATTGTCACATAACAATGCCCCTATCCCTGAAAACAATGGAAGTATAGATTAAAGGGGACCAGTGAAATACGAGGTTTAGAATACGAGGTTTTTGCTCCGAGGCTGTTGCTGGAAAAACGGTTGTGTGTTCTGTGACATGTTGCTCTTTAAAGTTCAGTGAGCTATTCACATCATCCATGGTAGATGAAGCCATGCCTTTGAAAGACATGCCAGGGAAGTTTATGTAGAAAGGCTCCTGAGACTTTCGCAGGTGATGGCGGTTACGGACATACACCCGTCCAATCTCAGTATGAATCTCGCATGCTTGTATGCCAACCTTGGATTGTACGACGGCCTTAACTGGTTCCTTAGCACCACTGCAAATTGGAAAAATCTGGACCACATTGTCAGGCTCTTCCAGGTCTTTAGCTCCTTTATTGAGTTATTTTGAAAAATAGTTCATATGTCAGTGGATTGAGTGCATGTATCTTTGTAGCTTTCTATGTTCAGATGATTTTTGCAGGGGCCAATAAGGTTGAAGGTACTGTGAGTTGATGCATAAGAACTAATTAGATTTTGCATCTAAGCATTTATGACATTGCTTAAGGTCAAAGATGGGCACTTGATTCTTCAGAATTTTTATGTCTTTTAGTGTTTTGAAGCGTAGCATTGACATATCTTCATGATTGTAAGATGTGAGTACAGTGATGCAACTGTTGACGGGTCCATATTTTATATTTTATTTTACTTTAGTGTGGATTCTGCTTCAAGACATTTGACCTAATTCTGTTGTTGCGAACGGTACAAAATGCATGTATTTCATAATTCGAGTTCTGTTTCACCTTCTTCAAGGTAGAGTATGAAAGGTCATATGTTTTTCAAAGTTCTTGCAATGAAACAGTAATTGAAATTCAGATATGAACTTTAATTCGTAAGCTTGCAGCCTGTAGATTGTTGTTGTAGAAGTTTGAATGGCAAGGCGAGTATTGTTAATCCTGTAAGCAAGCTTTATTCTCTCGCTTACAAAGCTCAACAGACCTTTTCTGTATCGACAACAGAAACCATGAATTGGGTGAGGAGCATGATACGTGCTTGCTGCTTAAGAGTTATTACAGTTATGGAAACGTGTTTTATTTTAGTAGTAAAGGTGCGTAACTTAAGTCGAAATGGTAGCAGTCAGGGAATTAAATTGGAAGAAGCTAGTTGACAAAATAATATATATTGCTTATTGAGTGGAATAAGATAATACGAGTAGAAATATATTTCAGCAGTTTGATAATTTTCTTGGAAGGAAATAAAATGTTAGGCTATCAACCTTAAGGTTGCATGAAGCATAATTTAATTGCAGATATTGTAAAGCCAAGGTGATTTTTTAAAATCATTTGAGCATATTTTCTAGTGAACAATTTGCTTTATTTTATGTATGAATTGTAAAAGGGACAAAGTCCAACACCTGCACATGCAAATTGTGTGCATGAGTTATTTTTATAATCCTTTTTACTGGATTAATGTTATAACTCGAATTCCCTTACATTTAAACCACTAAAGAGGCAAAGTCCAACACTTTCACGTGCATTGTGTGACTGTATATCTCATGCAGACTGGCTTTCCACAGTAATAATAGTGACGTGAAGGTGTGAAGAAGTTAGTTTTATAACTAGTGCCTTAAGTGAAGGCTCTTCTTTTACAAATCAACAACTTATAACACTTTTAGAATCAAGTTGTAAGAGTTAAATACTGTTTCATTAAGTAGAATCGCCCGTGACAACCTCGTGAATAATGATGATGCAATCATCTACAACAGTGATGAAAATCGTGGCATTTATTAGCTAATCGGTATTTGGCAAACTTCATTATCTTAAGAAACCATGGAGAAACCTTGAAACCTTCGACTCTTCCCTCTTTGAAATGTTTGGTGAACAATTTGTTTATTTTGCAACGAAAGACAAAGGAAAGTAAATCTATAGTATGAGGATTGACTCAGCTGTGCGCAGCAGTTCCTGTTTTCGTTAATGTACAGGAATACCCAATTTCGCACAAAACATAGTCTTAATTTAGGATTGAAATAGTAGATTGCTGATCAATACGGTTACACTGAAGCATTCAAAATAACTCATGCTTGTTAAATATGCCTATGTTTGTAGTGAAGAGCCTGTCTTTGCTTGCACACAGAGCTTCTTGGCAACATTTTTGCTCAGCTTTGGGTTAAGGTGGTTTGCGGTAGTTAGAAGTAGGGTTTTTGTCCTTCTGCTCATTACTTGAGTCGAACCCTTCAGTAGGTGTGTTTTTTGAGACAAGAGTTAAAGGCATGGATCTGCGCCAGCTTTCTTTGCCTTGTTAATCAAGTTCTTAGCTGCTTTGATAGCTTGCTCTGCTTTCCTGTTGCTTTGGGGATACCTTGGTAAAGATGTCGTGCTCAAATCGCCATTTATGACTTAATGCTTTGAATTCTTCTTCTGTAGAAAACTGAGGTCCATTGTCTGAGATGCACACATCCAGAATACCATACTGCACGAAATTGATTTTAAGGTTGTTTATGACAGTACGCGATGTAGTGTGTGGCAGTCCATCAACTTCCCAGAATCTAGAGTAGTAATCCACTGTGATGGGATAATCGAGGTCATTGCAGCTGAAGAGGTCTGTCCCAATTTTCACCCACAGTCTACTTGGCACTTGATGAAAATGTAGCATTTCCTTGGCTTGCTTGCTGTCAAACGAATGGCAGATGCTGCAATTATCTATATAATCTTAGCAATACAAAGGCAGCTAGCCTTGGATCCCAATTTGGTCTGAGTGAATTCGCTCAAGCATATCACGACTTAGGGTTGAAGGGATTGTAGGAACCCAATGTCCACTACAAGAAAGCGGCAACAAGATAAACTCGATATACGCTGGACTGTCAACCTTCTTTATTACACGAACAACGATTCACTGAAATGAAAACACATAAAATTTGCTGAATAAAGCAAAATAAAGACTGAATTACAAATAACAAGGCTAAGTCAAAAACCGATCGATACTCACAAGTTTTTCATGCCTTGTTCCGTTAATAACAACAAAATATTGTCTGAAAATCACAGCGAAGAACAAAACTTAAACTAAAAACAGACCATGCACTTTTGGAACTTGATATCCTGTTTGCGACCGTGAAACACAAAACCAGCAGAGATATCATAAATGACTCACGGAAATGTCTACATCACTGTCTGCATTTGAATTAAGTCTTAGTCATTTTCCCCCCAAAGACTATCCTAGTAGTCTTTAGGTGTTCACTTGGAACGATAACAGGAACAATAGGGCCATTTATATGGGGAAAAATAAGACGTAAACTGTACCATTTATACGAGCATGTCTTATCTAAGACGAGAACAGCTCGTATAAATGGTTCGCGTCTTATTTTCTGTTCTTGACTCGTTTTCATGTGAATGTTGCCCGTAGCAATGGCAATCCAATGTGGCACGCCAAAAATTAACGCATGCGTACTATGTGTTCGCGTCTTATTTAAGACGCGAAGGTCATTTATACGAAGTTTTTCTCGTCTTAGCTAAGACACGTCTTATCTAAGAGCAGGTGTTAAAGGGTGTTCTTAAATAAGACGCATCTTAGCTGTGCCGCGTCTTATTTTAGACGAAATGTGCCATTTATACGGAAAGTTCGCGTCTTATTTAAGACATGTCCTATGTAAGACGTGTCTTATTTTTCCTCGTATAAATGTCCCTAATGTCACAGATCCAAATCCACTGATCGCACGAGAACGTCACATTAACAGTTCAACAACTAATTGTACATGAGCAGGTTCTGGCCTCCTCCATGGACTCCTCCAACTTTGAAGTTTCGCTTCTGTTTTAACCTCTTTTGGTGTTCCTGTAACATGGGAAGGTATTCTTTAACCCAGCATGCCCAAAACTTGTTTGACAAAATGTGCACGTTTCCATCTTGCTTGGAACTTGTCGGAATCTTGTAACTCACAAGGCCATTTTCATTCTCTCTCTTCGGCAATTTTAAGCTCTCTCTTCTTAAACTCAGCTTCTTCCTTTTCCAATCGACGTTCCAGGCTCTGCCTTTGCTCTAGCGCTTCCACCTTTAGCCGTGCTTCTTCAAGTAATCTTCACTTCTCCCTCACGCTACTCAAACTGAAATAGGAACTCTTCCCAGTCTTGCTCGACCAGCGCGATTTGTGAACTGATTGCGACATTCCTTCCGTGTCATGTTTCACATTAAATCGAAGAGAAATTTGCACTCCTTTTCTTTCTTGTAACTTTTGTTGGCCACATTTCTCATCTCTTCATCATCTTCAAACGTCAAATAGGTCTCGTGGACATCCACAGACTTGTGAATTTTACCCTCGTAATCTACGACAACTTGAATTACTCCTTGTTCACTCATATGCTCGGAGAGAAGTCCTTGAAAAAATTTCAACCTCTTTCTCAAGTCTCCTAAATGTCCCGCTCTTTTTGCCTTTAGATCAATAGCCCTTTCAATTCTTACTTCCTCAGAATCCAGAAGTTTCGATGGCACTCTCTGCCTTGAAGTAATATTACATTCCGATGAATCCACAGTTCCAGATTGTGTGACATGAGCTGCAGTTTCCACGTGAGGATCTTCGCTCAACGGTGTCTCCCTTTGAACCTGTTGGAGCGACGTACGTCTCACCTTATCTGACATCTCATGAACTTACGACGCGAAGGAAAAACTTTGAATGATGTAGGAACCCAATGTCCACTACAAGAAAGCGGCAACAAGATAAACTCGATATACCCCGGACTGTAAACCTTCTTTATTACGCAAACGATTCACTGAAATGAAAACATAAAAAAAGACTGAATTACAAAATAACAAGGCTAAGTCAAAAACCGATCAATACTCCCCCAAGTTTTTCATGCCTTATTCTGCTAATAACAACAAAAATATTGCCTGACAATCACAGCAAAGAACAAAACTTAAACTAAAAACAGACCATGTGCTCTCGGAACGTGATATCCTGTCACGACTGCGAAACATGAAACCAGCGGAGACGTCATAAATGACTCACCGAAATGTCTACATCACTTTCTGCGTTTGAATTAAGTGTTAGCATTACAGGAATCACGGCTTGATTTCCACGGAATATTATCCTGTCTTGTTCACTTTGTTCATCTTGGTATTGAAAATAATGAAGTGCTGCTTTGCAGGACTTCATGTTTGTCCAGGGTTTGTATGGGTCCTGGAGATCCTGGAAAGTCCTGGAATTTTATTGTCACATTTTCCAGGACTGGAAAGTCCTAGAAAATACTACTGGTCTGTCAAAGTCCTGGAAATCTGTTATACTGAATAAAGGAATAAAGTTTCTAAACGATAAGAAGAGAGTTAAGAGCGAATGCCCACAAGAATCAAACAAAATTGGAAAATAGTGGCAAAAGTGTAAAAACTCAAAATCGCTCAAACTTTGGCTATCAGTAGGCCATACTGAGTTATTCATTGGCTAATAAGGTAGCCTTGTCGTTCTGCCATTTCTGTTGGATAACTGGTGGCTCTGACTGGGCTCGGATATTCGACAGTGGCTTATCATTGTCACTGCTATCATTATTTTGCTTGGGGCGATTATCTGCAAACGCAAAATAGGAGTAATTGTTATTACCCCTTTTGCTGTTCATTAATAGAAACTCCCCAGTCATTTGCATCAATGGCTGTCTCACTGATCATAGTGTCATTCACATTTTGCCCCAAGGAAACCTTCACGAACTACAATTTCATGTGTTAACATTCAACACCATGAACGCTGGCAGGAAATGTAATTTCATTTTTGCCCAAATAAAATTATATTAGACAGTCAATTGTCATTTTGTTAGTAAGGAACTAAACTAATGAGATTTGCATAAGTACAATGATATTGCATTTTTAGACATTCTTCAGTGCAATCAGACAAACATTAGTGTCATAGCATAACTACTGAAAAAGAAAAACTCAAATGCGCGGCACAACTGAATAATCCTATATCAATTTCCTTGTTATTCAGGCAGCATGATAAATACGTTTGCGTAAAACAATACCACTGTCCACATTCAGCAAAGCAAAAGGTGCAGTTAAGCAAACTTTGGTGAAGCCCCATTTTCAAACAGAAAACATGTATTTTTGCCATAAAAAATGAACTCTTTACTGTGATGTTTCAAGCAAAAAGAAAAAAAAGCATAATTGAAAATGAATGAATAGTCACCGAGAAGTTGGAATATAACATATTTCCACCGGATGTAAAAGTTTATTTTTGTCTTAAAGGGGACACTTTTAACAGTTACAGCTTAAGGGAGATTGGTTGAATTTCGATCAAGAGGAAATTTGGACAGTCGCTAGATTAACTTATCTTCAAGAAAAATGCTGGGGTTGGGAAATTTGATAATTTAAAAACGCTTTTCACTGAGCGCGATTTACATATGGTCACTTTGTGTTTTTCCTAGCGAATTTGAAAATTATCTGTAACTTAATTGAACGGAATCGAATGAAGGAAAGCCCCAACACATAACTTCTGGGTTCCAGACTTTCAGAAAAATATCAAATTCCGGAAATTCAAAAATCGTATTTAGTTATAGCTCAGTTTTAAAAAACAATTTAGCTTTGTGTTTAGACTCGGGGTAGCATTCAGTCTGAATTCACTTTCTTAAAAAAATGATGAAACATTCGAATAGCTAGTTCTACTAGCTTTGACTGGATAATTAGAAGGTTTATGGTATCTCGGCATCAATCAGGAGCCGCTACAAGATTTAGGACGCACCTGAAAATACCCAATAACCTTAACTATGTGTACATAATCATGGTAACCTTACCTTGGGCTTTTTTCTTTTCTGGTGGGCGCCATGCCTCACACACTTCTGCATCAAACCAACGTCTGTTAAAGAGGACTTTAACCTGTTCCCCCTTCGCCAATGTGGCATCCAAGGGTTTGATATCCTTACGGCTAACTCTCTGCTGACAGTTGCTCCACTTGTCATTGGTCTTCCATTTGATCAATATTTTGTTTGACATCTTCGGAAAAAGGTCACTGGCTGTATGTTCAGAATTTCAGTTAACTTCGACTTATCACTCAAACAAGGATTTTTTCCTTGCGTGTGTTTATGGACAAAGTGGCAGTGTCACTACCCTGTCACCACCCCAATAAACCCTGATATCATTGTCCTCTGAAACTGTTCCAAACGTCACGAAATGTTTCGTTCCCTTCTGGAAATTCTTTCACAGATATGGACGTTTTTCCTCAGAGTATCATGCTCCTAATCTTCTCTTACTTACCGTACAAATTTGTCCGGACTACAGCATCACTGGTGTGTAAAGCTTGGCGCCAATTAGCTTATGGCAAAAACTTGATTAAGTATGCGGGACGTAAAGTTTTATCAGAAATTAATGCCAGAGATTCTTCGAAAGAGACCTTGGATAACTTCCTTCAAGCCGTGAAGTGGAGGCCTCGTATGTTCCACAGCATAGATTTGTGTGGTGCCACGACAATATGGAAAACGTTTGGAGAAATAGCACATAACTGCACTGAGCTGAAAATTTTGAACATGGCTAGAACTAAGAGTGTAATTCTTGAATACCCACTGATTCAAGCAACCAACATTGTGAAACTAAACTTAAGCGAGACTGATAAATGACCAGTTGTTTGTTTTGATATCCAAAAGCGTTCCAAAGTAAGGCATATTGAATGTTTCGAGATGTTATAACTTGACTAATTTAGCAATTGAAAATCGTCATTTCCATCGTGGCGCTTTCTTGGAATAGCATATTATATGTTCAGCATTGAGGCAATAATTTGTGCCATGGACAAGCATGGTATATTTGCCATATGCGTGAGGGGAATCAAACTGCAAAATGAAGACATAAGTCGCCTTATAGAATTCTACCCTGATGTAGCTGATATCGGCATTCCCCCTTGGTGTGGCTTGCCGGAAGGAACTGTGTCTCGGGAGGCATTAGCCTGCTTAAGATCCCATGACGGCAGACATCTGTGATGGCGAGCGGAAGTGAAATTACTGCTAGAAAGACTGCCGGCTGCCGTCGTTGCGAAGGTTCCCGCCGTAGCGGTCTTGTCTGTGACGTGAAGAAGGCCATTTTGCTGTTGCATGTAAAACGTGAGCACACTTGATCAAAATAATGCCATTTAAACACATTTTGAGCGAAATTCTTTAGCACTGTTAACAGTTTATTCTCAGTAGACCATTTTTGTCGAATTTCTAAGCGACTTAAACAATTTGAACACGGTATTTAAATTAAATTTGTTTGCCTTCTCTAAACAGTTTGACTCGTTAATCGCCACGGACTCGGTCAACTCGACAAAGAAAGCAACCCAGTAAGTCTTACACGTTTTTTCTTGTGTTTATTGATGTGTTTAACAATTATGATATCGTAGACTTGTTTTGGCATTAAATTAAGGTCCAATGGATTATGTCACTCATCTTTTCTCGAAATAGCGTTTTTTTTTTACTCGGCTTCTCTTACAATGTAATTTTAATCAAGAGCTTTCAGTAAGGCCAAAAAAATGTATCGTCGTTGAGACACAGAACGCTTGCTTCTTGAAACTGCTCAAAATACAACATCACGATTAGTTTATGCTTGAATTAGGTGGCATATTGCACATGTACACATGTACACATGTACACAAACATGACTGGACCGCTTTGATTTGCTTTAGAAAGATCTGAACTGATTTAACGGCAAATCGATTTAACCGGTTACCAAGGTCGAGATGAAGTCTTTGTTATTTTTTTTCGAATTGTAGGTCTAACATGGAGTGGACAGAAGACCATGACCTCTGTCTATCTCAAGAAATTTTATCCCTAGGACCTTTTAAAGCGCAAAAGGGAAGTATTACGGGAGGAAACATTTGAGACCAGATTGCCAATAATCTTAACTCATTGGAAATTCCAAGGTTTAGAGTTTCAAAGCGTTCAGTGAGAGAGCGGTACACACTTCTCATTAAAAAGTTAAAGAAAAAGTTAAAAGAAGAGGGGAAAGCAACCGGCATTGAGACCAGCATGAGTGATGTCGAAAAAGCTTTCAAAGAAATAATGGAAAAGGAAAGTGATGCTGAAAACACAGTTGAAAGCAACAAGAAGAAAGCAGACCATGCTAAAGCTGTGGAGATGCGGAAGAGAGCAATGGAGAGCATTCGCTCAACACAGAAAAGAAAGGAGGGTGATGAAGTCGACGATGAAGAGAATGCTCAAACAAAGCCAAAGATCACAAGGAGTGGTGGAGAAACAATTGCATATTTTTGAGAGAAAAATGATGTGGCTCAGAAATGGAAAGCTGAAGAGCTGGAATTACAAAAGCAGCTCCTGGAAGTTGAAAAGTAAACAGCAAGACGAGTCCCGAAAGCAACATCAAGAAATGATGCAAATGATGGCCCAGCAAGTCAGGCAGCAACAGAATCAAATGCAGCAGTTTCAGCAGATGTTTGCTGCTATGCAACAACAGCAGTCACAAATCATTTTAAAGCTTTTAGAAAAACAAAACTAAGCAACTTGAACATGTTGAGGGTCGTTGAATGTACTATGACAGATTTCATAGCCTGATTTTTTGTTCAGTTTAAGAGGCCTTTTGACCATATTTTTGTATGATTGAGGAGGGTTCATATGTGGAGAAGGGGGGACCTGTGAGGATTTTTAAATATTTACTGTGTATTTTGGGGGAATTACCCCTCCTCCCTCACCCCAAGGGAGGATGAACCTCTCTTGCCTATACCCTAATGTTTTTATAACTTGTTTTTTTCCTTGTTCTTCAGGATACTTTCAAAAGCCCAACTCATGCCCATCCCCTCCTATCCCTCTTAACATAGATTTTGAACCCTCCTTTTCATAAATTGAAGTTGTTTCAGTATACATGATTTGATCTAAGTACAAATATTAGAGGATAACTTCCCCTACTTTGTACAGTTTATTGGAAAGCTGCAGATAAACTATGTTACATTCAAACGACATGTGTATTTTTTACATCATTATTAATCATTGAAATTTCATTTCTCTTTACAAGTGGTGTAAAGTGTTAAGAAAAGTAATCCTGAAGGGTAGGTGGGTCAAATGCCAAGAACTCTAAAGTGAAATTTCCGTACAAACAAGTCATGGCATTTCTTAAAATTGCACATCCTTTCTACATCTTTCCCACTGCACTCAATGATATCTTTTGAGTTTTCTTAAAATCAACAAATTAAAAAAAATCAATTATGTCTCCAAAGAGCCACTCTACTGAAACACGGACAGTGCTCATTCACTTGTTAAATTCTTCCATCTGTGGGCTAATACCAGCAGCACAATATGGCACAATTAGGTGAACCTTCAGTGGGTACGCTGGGTCGCTATATAATGCCATCGGGTCACCAGTTGTGGAAAAGGCATAGCTCTCAAGATCTTGCATAAGGCCAGAGTCGGCTAGCATCCCAGCATCATGTTTGCGGCCCTCTGAAAGAAATGAGAAAATTATATCAAAGTTGAAATTCATAATGTCAAAAATGAATACATCTCTTATTTCTAATACTTTATATCTTCCACAATAGAACGACTTTAACTGCAGTCGCCCTGTTTGAGTTTATGGTCTGACAGATGGATATAACAAGACATAAACATTAATTGAAAGAAATAGTTTTTACCTACTGGCCCATACATATTAGTCCATGGGCCAAGTGGCTTTTCATTACCACTGGGGGGGACAAAGGCTACCATATATCAAATTAAAGCTTATCATGTGTAGATTTCAAAAATATATGATGGAAATGTTTTAAGAGTAGCTTAAGGGAGTCACGTGACCTTGAATTTTGCATAATTAGCATAAATTGATAATATACTAAAATGCCGCTTTTAGCAAGTAAGGCTGTAGATTCAGCATAAATTAAAGCAGGCCTAGATAAGATATAATGTCTGTAAAATATTTTGTCACTTTTAAGGATAAATAGTCAAGTGGCAGTGACGTCACTTCCGGTCACGGTGAAAAAACTCAATTTTTGTCTATATTTTTACTTTTTCCCCTTTTTTCTTTTATGTGATTCAAAAATACAATTCAGAGTATTTTTACCATAAAAAGCACTAAAAGATATAGCAATTAGCATTATTCTAAATGTATGTTCAAATAAGAATCAAACTGGTACCCTGTGTTCTTAGCATGATAAGTGTTTCTCATGGGTAGGTGATATGTTGAAAATGTTACACCCACACTCAAGAGACTTCAGTCAAAGTCAACGTGCTCTTCATCCAGGTCTACCTGGATGTAGACCTGGATGTCCTCCTCTTCTTCTGGCTGGTTAGAACAAGTTATTAGGCGGCAAAGGTCGCAGCACTTTAAGCCATTTCGAATGCAGTCACATGAATCATCATTACAGGCCTTCTTGCACATACATGACATAAGCTCTATTACAGCTGTTGGTGCCGGGAGTCCACTCATCCAATCTATCAGCAATCTCTCTGGAGCTCTGTCATTTACAAGAGACCAGCCATGACCAACTGGGGATGGAATGTCGTTGTTTAGTAGAGAATTTTTCCATATCGCCGCTTGATAGTTGGCTCGCCGGCAATGTTTGTCCAAGCTGTCTTGGCATGGAGGCAGCTGATGGAATTCCGCTTCACCTGAATGAATATATGAATATATATCATAGGTACGGGGCGGGAAAACATTTACATTTACATTTATCGGTGAATGTATTTCTTTGTTATTGTGATCTAATTTCTTAATATTATGGAGATAGCTAGGTGTCTCTGATTAGCGAACCTCATATGACACTTTAATAAAGTTTATTATTATTATAATTTTTATTATTATTATTACCTTTCTTTGCACAGAAGACCGAATATCTGCATTGATTCACGTCTGAGATACCGTTCTTTGAGACATACATATCACAGACAAATGCCTCTAACTGCATCAGAAGATCTTCAGACATCAACCAGTTTTCTCAGAGTTGCTGGAACATGCATTGGTATTCCTTTTTCCTCAGTAACCTCTTCAGGGGCTTCACTTTCCCAATCCCTGCAAAGGCACTCACTGCATCACAACCCGTAAATGCGTGCAAACCTGGTAGTGCTTTGCAAGCATCCTGGCCAATGACGTATGATGCAATGATGCCAATGATGCATCGTGGGCTATTTTTCCAATGTCAACATACCGAGCGTTCAGTTGAGAAACACAACGCTGATAAATCGGTACATCAATGGAAATTCTAAAACTCATTAATAATTCATAAGTTTAATAGCCAATAAAAAATGGCTAAATTTGTCACATGCATGAGTTTTGATACCCAATGAAAACACAGATGAAAACTACACGTGTTTTGGATCACATATAAAAACACGCGTGGTTTTCATCTGTCTTCTCATTGGACATCAAGATTCATGAATCAAAACAAAACAAACTGAACACAAGAACAGTATTTCAGTTTAATAAATCATCATAATTAATCAGCTACACTGCCAGTTCAGTTTTTTTCGTTGACCACGCAAGCCAAACATTTTACCATTATAGAAATAAATAGTATCTAATAATTGCTTAGCTATTCCTAAATAATCCTGCACTCCAGAACTTTTCTTCTTCCTCTTCTGTAACAGCTTCCTTCTCTTCTTTCTTTGTTTGCAAACTCCACCTTGCCGCATGCTGTCCTTCATCTCGGCATCAAGACAACGACGGAAAATAGCAAATCTGCAATAAAATATGGGAAGATTAGAAAAAGGTCGATCTATATTCTAATGGGAGTCTGCGATGAAAATAGTATCTTGCATTGAAGGTAATAAGTACTATATCCTCTCTTACCTTTTATCCGAAGCATCTACACGATTTTAAAATGCTTCGCTTCCCACAGTTTCTTCTAAATGCCTTCAGATGCCACAATAAATTTCATACACCTTCCCTTCACTATTCGCATCCTCCTGGACAAATTTACTCAGCCAGTAGTTTAAAGTGTTGGCATCCATATTTGCCAAATCTGTACTCAACCACTGAACCTTTTACAAATCTCCATAATCTGAAAAAGCGCCACCAGCATCAAGTACAGGAACTTTGTCTTTTCTGTTTATCTGCCATTCGTGAAAAATTTAAATCGCCCATTTGGTTCTGTAGGCAGTTGACTTAGGAATACTCCCTTTCAGCAACTTTGATTCTTCTTTCCCGGTTTTTGGAGAACGAAAACGGCTTTCGGTATTCGCTGCAAAAGACACCGCCATCTTCACTCCCACATGATTCACAACGAACAACAGCAAATTTCCCACATTTTGATTATTTTTCAAAGACATAATCTCATGGGAAATTAGAGCACTGAAACAATACCCCCTAATTACTAAAGAAGTGCGAATAGTTTTAGAAGCCATATCAAAAATTCGTGCGTCGTGTTTGACCGGGGGTCTCCAGACACCTCAAAACAATAAAAGCACTCGGCCTTCGGTGTCTGGATACCCTGGTCAAACACTCGCACTCGTTTTTGATTTATTACATGAAAAGGCTAGGCACAGGATTCTAACGTCTGTGTCTTCCGAGGATACAATAATTGACCTATATCGCTGCTCATTTGTTGCATGTTGCACATGCAGGAGAAGTCATGTATCAGCCTCCTCTTGTTCAGATCTTAGCTCTTCTTCTTCCTCTACTCTCTCGGCAGTGATTTTGTAGCATCGGTTTCCACATGTTACGTACAGCTCCTTGTCTTCCAGTCTCTTGCGACCCAGTGTTTTTTGCCAGTGTTTGACAACAAATCTGATAAGACTTGTTTTGTTGTCACCATTGCGTAAAAAATTCTTGAATTGCTTGACCTTCTGGCCAGCCGCAAGGTTCTTGAAAGTTATTGCATCACTTTCACCTCTGAGTTCTCTTTTTGCTGATATAATGGAAATGTCTCTGTACACGTCAAATACGACATCCACCCTATCGCTACCCTCCGCCTCACGCAACACTCTAGATAAAATATTGTCTGCGATCTCACCAAATGTGAGATAATCTACCTTCAGCTTTTGGACCAGAGCCATCCCATCCATTAGGTAAGCTGAAGGCCTTGTTACTTCTACCGTTGGCTGTATCAATTTCTCTAATTCTTTGCCAAGTTGTGCCTTATTGGTCTTGTGGGAAAAGCCATTGTTGCAGGCCAGGGGAGCAGGAAGGGGACCTAATGGGTGCTTTAACACATCTTGCATTTGCAGATTGTGGCTTTCAGCAATTATGATCGTCCGCGCAAACAAATTTCGATCAGCGCGCAGAACAGTTTCTGTGTCTTTGCCCTTTGCCACTGTCTTGGTCTTCGATAAAGCACTGAAGGTTTTCAGCTTTTGCTTCTTCAATTTGTCATTGAACCTTACCGTTGGGGGCTGTGATTCGAGACGGGTATTCTTGAAATCAGCGTAGGCTGCCTCTCCAACTTAATGGGCGGTCGCAAGGTCCTCTGCTATAGCAGTAGTGGCAACAGCTCCTGTTGAGATGCTTAACAGTTGCATATGACCTGCAAATGGATCTGTCCAGTTCTTGATTAAATAAACCATTGTGGCAACATCTTTCTCATCTTGGGCAATGCGAGACGAGTAAAGGTCAGCATGGCCGTGCTTCCCTTTGGCATAGCCAACCATTTCGCGCAAACTGGGCAGGAACAAAGTTCTGAATTCTGCCGTCAAGTAGTACCTTTGTACGGCTCCAGGTTTCAAACTAAAGCCCTTAGTACCCCCAGGTGTTTGGCTATCTCTATTTACGGTTTCTTCAAGAGTCTGGTCAACTGGAATTCTTCCAAATGTATTGTCGTTGCTCAACTGAACTGAAAATCCACCATTTCTCATGAACTCGTGTACCTCAGGGTGCTCATCTGGTAGACTTGTCATATCGCCATAATAAGCTGACATGTATCTTGTGTAGTTGATAGCATCGTAGGAAAAGCACCATGGGAGCATCTGGCGGACACAGGAGAGATGGAGTTCCCAATTCCCTTCTCTAGAAGCACGGATCATGTGAAGTAGTAGCTCGATCATGTCTATATAGGACATCCAGAATTCTGAAAGGGGGGCCATTGGTATTCCAAAGATGAAGAGTGTATTCAGCAAAAAGGTCAGAAAAACGCTGGAAAACTCGGCTCTTGAAAACCTCATCGTGTCTTTCTTTGGACAGTTCATCAGCTAGGGTACCAATTTCATCAAGACATGTTTGTACTTGACGACTGTCCCGCTGGGTGTGACTCGTCAAGCCAAGGATAAAATCCTTCCAATGCCACCCTGGTGAATGCTTCGTAAGCCAGTTTGTGCACACGAACACTCCTGTTATAGTTTCGGCTCTCCAGAACTGCAGACACAATACAACAGCACAATAATCGCTTGCTCATTAACAAACACTGTTGACCTTTACGCTTCGATATGACCGCAAACTACCAGGTTTAATACGCGACATGAACGCTCGAGCTTAGCGACCTCGTCCACGCAACAATGCAGCACTTGCTATGGGAGGGATGGTACTTTTGCTTTTAGGTCAATCGACACTGAGCAAGGGTCCGCTGTGTTAGTTTTGACCAGAAAACAAAAGGTGATCGCGCGACTGTCTGTAAATTTTCAACAGGGCAGCCCTGGTTTTCTCATTTCGAATTCTTCTAATGTTCACTGTCACAGCTGCTGTCACATTGTACGTCCAGCCGCTTGCATAAGCTCTTGACTCTTCTAGACCTATTTGCTTAGATTAATTAAATAAATAGTTCTTTCCAGAACAACAAAATCTGGCCTCGGTTATGCAGCTGAATAGAAGATACAGCTGAAGATATGGTAAAGTAAAATTTATGTGCGCGATCTTTTTTTATTATTATTATTTTCAAAATTAGGGGGCACCCAATGACGATTTCCCCTAAATCAAAGGCTGTCCAGAGTACTTTTGATCTCTAAAAATGCATTCTGAGCAGCGCTAATACATAAATTTAGTCAGGAAGGCTAAAAGCGAAGCTCTTGATAATATTCATAGTTTGGTCATACTGAATATAAAATTGTGTAATGCTAAGTGGAGACATGGGCACCCAATGACGGTTTCCTCAAATACATTGAAAACACTTTTTTAGCTATTCATAAAGTACTTTTAGCTCTATAAAAATGCATTCTAAGTGGCGCTATAAAATTTGTATCTCAGTGTTCGGCCATTCTTGGGGAACTTGAGTCTTTTCAAAGTTACGGGGAATTCAGACCTATTTTCCCGAAAATTTTAGATGCAATTTAATGTATTACAAAGGAGATAATTTTTCAGATTCCTTCTTTCATCACATTTTCAAATCCGAAAGTTTTAGGATTCCTTTTTACTTGTGACGAAAAATAGCCTAACCGGGGGAGTGAAATGTGAAAAGTTAAACTTCAGAAAATCGTAGGGAATCTATTAGCAAGATTAGATGAGCTTCGAAAATTGTACATGAATGGAATGGTTATCGAGAAATTTTTAGCCAAGTGAAAGAAAACTCTGGGCAAAATTTGCTTCTCTGAACAGATATTTTACAGAAAACAGTCATTGGATGCCCTTGACCAGAACTGTGAAAAACAACAATAGGTCTAATTGCGGCAGACTTTCTTGTACATTTCCTTGCCATTGATTTGCATCACTGCAACGTGAAACGTCCAGAAAACTTCCTGGTTTGCACTTTTTATGGAGAAAATGTTGTACATGTTCTTGTTCACTTTTTCCACTGCCGCTGATTTTTTTTTTTAGCTCCGCTCTAAAATTCGTATCTGTTTGGTGATCCTAGGGCAAATTGGATCTTTTTGAAAACTACAAGGGCTTCAATATTATTTTCCCGATGGATTGACCTAGAAGCAATAGTACTATTCCTCCCATAGCAAGTGTTGCCTTGTTGTGCGGACCCGGTCGCTAAGCTTGAACGTTCATGTCGCGTATTAAACCTGGTAGTTTGCGGTCACATTGAAGCGTGAAGGTCAACGGTGTTTGTTGATGAATGAGCAATTATTGTGCAGTTGCGATGGGTTTTGTGGAGCCAGCGAGCAAGATGCAGGGGCACACGTTACCTACAGATTAGCCGATGGCAATTTGGGGCAGATTTGTCGATTATTCTCGAATTTATACTGCTTTGAGTGGAGGCGGGTGGAGATGGTCCGTTT